ACTCGAATTTTGAACTGTGGTACGGGAAGTTCCAGCAATTTGCCTTAAGGCACGTTGCCCTAATTGCCTTAAGACTGAATACCGCTTACAGCTAGTTTGTCTTTCTCGTTAACTTAAGAACGAACGTCGCATCTTACGCTATGAACTGGTGTGTCGGCACCCTTATATCCGCTCTACGATTATTAGCATTCTACTTCTATGTCCATCTTCCATTCGTCCATTCTTCTTCCATCGTCGATGGCAGGCGCCTGATATTTGTTTCAACAAATTTTTTAGGTTTTTGTTTAAATTCAGTGCTTTAGTGGATAATTAATGATTTAATTAATTATTTTGGTTAGTATTTTATTGAATTGGTTATTTTCCTTGTTAATTTATATCAAGGAATTTTGACAGCATTCTATTCTGTATTCGGATTGATCTTAAATGCTAAACATTCGTTAACGTTCGTGTTTTTTTCTGTCATTTATTTTTAATGTTTGTATTATTTATTAGATTACTAAGTGCGTACGTACTTGGTTGTTTATCGATATTGTTTTAATTTAAGAAAAATGTTATGACTTGCACACGCCAGTTATAATTTAACAATTTTTTCTGTGACCCTTTCATGTTTTCTTTCATTTTGATACGATTTATTTTTTTGTATCAAATTTTATATTATTTTATAATTTCAGATATCGGTGAAGAAATACTATGATGAAGGGTTATGTCCACATGATGAAGGGTTATATGCCCGTTTCTAAACAAAATTGTAGTATATTTTATAGCTATACGAGGTAACTTCAGTATTAGATCGTCTAAGGTAAGTTGCTGCATGTTGTTCCTATCAATTAAATTAATCTTGATCATTACAATTAAATATGTTGTATTCTATAGAACATTTTGCCCACAGTAGGAAAAAGTTCAGTATCAATATTAGTATCAACTAAAATTATAAACCTTAGTCAACTGATATGTGTCGTATATAAATTTTGCATTTGAATGGTGTTCTAGCTGTTTGATCTACAATCTATTAATGGTGGCTCAATAAAGTTGACAATATTTTTATTTAGCTACAGTCGCTAATAAATGTTGCCTTTATAATTTTGACTTAAGCAGGTAGTGTATTGTGCACCAATTTTGCTATTGCTAATGAATATGGTTTATTTGCTTGATGATAATATTGATGGCATATTTTGGCTAGTTAAAGTGCTATGAAGCTATCACTGCACCCACAACTTCTTTGGTAAAATATGTATATGTCTTAAAACGTTTATTCATTACGGTATCGAAAGCTACAAATATTTTTTTTTGACAGTACAAACTTTTTGCCATCAGATATAGTTATGATCAAATATATTTTGAAATTCTGTTTTCTGATTTTTTGTTAAAAAATTTGCTTGCTGTTTTCTAGAATTGATTATTTTGCCGTTACTAAATTATTCTGAATAAGCCTTTGTTGTCTTTATTTCTTTCTTTTACATATAAGTAATAATTCAAGCTAGGACTGGCTAGTATTAATGATAGTCTGTCGTTACACTAGTCATTACACGATTAATCTATGAGCACTATAACAGGTGCTATTTTTTGTTATTTGTTACATATTAGTATTAAGAGATATATATATATATATATATATATATATATATGTATATATATATATATATGTATATATATATATATATATATATATATATATCAGCAATTCTGAGTTATCAATTTTATTTAAAATATATTGCAAGCTGGCCTTAATTTGGGTGGCCCATTAACCACCTCTATTGACAGCACTGTTGTGCTGCTCTAAACCTGTTTAATCAATAGTTTTTCTTATTTTCTCTGTTTTTTTTCTTAAGCTTATTCATTTCCAAAATGGAGCTATTACAAAAATCCTGGGTACAAGTTGTGAACTGTTTTTGACTGTGTCTAATCTTTGCATTCACTGCCTGCGACACATGTCATGAGCAGAGTAGGTGATTATCGGTTGGTATCGTGAATGATGACCAGGCATTATAATACACTGGCGCATCATCAGACATAATTGTTGTTGCAACCATGTTTCCCTACTTCTCCTAGATTAATTCAAAAAATATTTTGCATAATGCTTCCCCTTGGCGGTTACAGAAGCAAAATGCCACTGGATTACTTGCTGCAAACTCATCAATTACTAAGAGAGTATGCAGGTTATATCATTTGTGCCATGAGTTTTGTCAATGCATATTTTATTGTGATCAAATTCATTAAGAATATTAGCCTGTTCTTTGGTTATAACTAAGAAGAGATCATGCTTTTCTAGAATATTGTGTTCTGGGGTAGCCAGAGATTTTTAAATGTAAAACTTAAAAAAAGAAAATTGTTCTCTATTTTGTCATCAAACCATGTTGGGTCACTAGATTTGTCGTTCTTATTTTTATACGAGGGGCATGTAAAAAATAAGGTTCCCACATTTTTTTCAGGGTTGAGGCATTTTTTATTGCAATAAATATGTATGCCATCGGAAAACTTGTATTTCAAACTAATTTTCTACATAGTTGCCAGATCTTTCAATGCATTTTTTCTGAGGAGTTTTTCATTTCTGAAAACCCGCTTCGAAGAACTCCGCCGCCACGCCCTTGCTCAGTTTTCTTCTCCGGCGATTTTTATGGCTCTTTTAAGTTTCGTTAGCATCTCGCAGTACCTGTCCGAATTTATAGTGGAGCCTAGATAAAGATAAAGATGTGGATGGAGCAGAAGAATTGTTTTTGGGAAGTGATGGCCAAGGTGTGGAGACACGTAAAATGAAAGAAGATTAATTGAGGTGTGTAAAGGATGTTGAAGTAGAATGTGTAGGAGAAGAAAAAGGATTTGTCAGGAACTAATGGGATCTGAAAAGGAGCCGAGATGAATGGGGCAGGGAATAGGTATTGGAGGGTGATGTCAAAGATGTGGAGATTTGTGAATAGGAAAAAGGTAAATTGAAGTGTTCTGTGGATGTCACAGAACATTAGCAGCAGCAGGGATACTGTTGTGAATTGGTTTAACATGCTTTGTTAAGAACGATTTCTGTTTAAATATTTCGTTGTACAATGAGCAGATATTCGACACAATCGCACAATTCGCACAATCGACAAAAAAATCTATATTTATTGCGAAAACTTACAAAATAATTGAAGGAATATTAAAAATATAGAATATACGTAATAACAATTAATTTTTATCTATAAATTATGATAAAAAGCCTAACCTGTCTCCCCAGTATCTAAAAAGATCGTAACATTTTCAATTCTTTTTTTAATTGGATGTTTTTTTTTAATTGAATAATAAAGATCCTGGCAATAAGGAACGTAAATAAGGATCAAACTCAAACTGAATCCATCTTAAACACATTCCACATTGTTGTCAAGAAGTGCTGGATGGTATTAATTCCGCATTACAGTTGATTTTGCAACTAATAAATGAGTCTTTAGAATTTTTTGTATGTCTATACCATGTATCGCATTTAAAACATTTATAATATGTAGGTCGGTCTGTTGGAGAGTTATCTGAACTACTACAAATTGTACAGATTTTATTGACAGATTAAATATTGTTTAAGAAATATGACATTGGACTTTTTCTGGTTTTGATAGGATTCATTTCATAGCTAAAATTAGTATTATTTTAATTTAGCACTTTTGTAGTATGAAATGTCCACAACTATGATTATCAGTTTGCTTAGGGAAAATGATTGTATACTTACTCGATTTCATTTGTTTCCCAACAGTTAATTATTTGAAAGATATTAGTTTGGAATGATTCTAATTATTTTTGGGTGAAAATCTGCCGAGCCGTTTATGGAATTTTATAGAACTTTTTTTCGCGATATATCATGGTCTTATAGAACTTACAGAAATATTACGGTCTTACGACAAGTAATATAATTTTAAAAAATCATCAAATTTTGAGAAACTGATTAGTTTTTTTGATGTTTGTTAAAATTAGATTAGACGATTTACTTGGTATAACGATAAGTACTTGGTCTTAATGAACATACTAAACCATTAAAGTCCTACGGAAACTGGTTCAATTATAAAAATTATTGATTTTTGAAAATTTGCTTCTAGAAAATACTCTGATAAATTAATTGATACTCCGTGTTTGTTGGTTTTCAATTATGTGTAATAAATCCACTTGGAATACTTTTAATCGCTCATAAATTAATTTATTTTCTATTAATTAAGTCGATTATTCACACATACTGGGAAGTTGATATAACTTGCCTCATGGCCAGTGGTGTAACTAGGCCATCCTTGGCCCGTGGCAAATTCTTTTGATGGGGCCGGCCCCCCCATCAGTAAAATCAAGTGATTTTAATTTAATTTAAAAAAACTCGAAACTTTTCAACGTGCTGATTTAAATGTTATATATATCCACGATTTGTAATAAATTGTATTGAAAATGAGTAAATCTACTTCGACTTATTCATATTTTATGGTTTTTAATCAAAAAATTATTTAAAATGTATGCATACAAAAATTAAAACGTATAAGTATAAAAAAAAACAAACATAAAAATAATTATAAGCCAAAATTAATAATTTAAAAGTACAATTACAACTTTGTTTTGAAAATCAAACATAAAATTTTTGTGTATAAACACTGTAATACATGAACTATAGAAAGGAATTTTTTTATGACTGAATTCAACAGAGAAAGAACATAGTGCTTTGGGGTTAAAAATAATTATTATATAACCTAACATTAACAATCAATTTTCACGTGTTTTCTCAACAATCTAATTCTTTTTAATACTTTTTGAAGACTTCATATTCGTCATATACTGGCCTTTTTTGGTAAACAGACCTATTTAAAATATGCATAAATTTAGAATGAAATAAAAACAACAATTTAATTTCAATAAGGTATTTATTAATTAAAATCTTTTCTTCGTGCTTTCTGTTCTGCAAAAGTGTCTATAAATAACATCATCAAAATTTAATGAACGAGCCATAGTATTTTCAATAGACAAGATAGCCAAGTTAGATAATCTGTGTTGTCCCATAGAGTTTCTCAAATAGTTTTTTTTATTAATTTCAATTTTAAAAATGATCGTTCAGCACTAGCTGTAGTCACAGGTATTGTAAGAAATAATAATAATGCAGTGCACATCTCGTGAAAGCTGCAGGACATAAAATGGTTTTTAATTAATAATAAATTGGCTAAGTCTTTAATACAGGAAGATTTTTCTATTTCGTCTCTGAATGTTGATCGAAAACTAAGAATTTCTTTGGCAAAAGATTCAGATATATCCTTTTTATACACCTTAACAAATTCTAAAGCTTTTTTCATTATTTCAGTATCATTTAATGCTTTTAATGTTGAAGGCTGTAAAATACTGAAATTTGAAATAAGTTCATTCATTGGATAAAAACGCGATTTGAGTTGGTTAATGATGATGTCCAAAACTCGATAAAATATGTTCACTTTGAACAAACTTTCCGGATCTTGAAGACGCTCATCTTCGCAAAGGTCGTCAAAATGGCGTTTTACCTTCTTCTGACGAGTTTTAGAAAACTCAGGAGTGATGGACCATTTTTCTGCTACGCTATTTGCTTCTAGTTTCAGATTTTCAAAGTCATGTCGATACTTTTTCCACTGTTCCAAGCAAGTTTTCAATCGTTTTAAAGCATTTGAAAGATCGGCATCTTTAGATTGAAGTGCTTTAGATGCTGCATCGATGATTTGTAGGATCTTACAGTGGAAAACCAGTAGCATTTCAAAATTAAAGTTTTCGATTTTCTTTTCAAGTGAAACAGCTTCATTTCTTTCATCTGGTTTACAATTGAATAAGATTGTTTTTGCTAGTGCTTTTTGTACTTCAACAAAACGAACTTTTAAAGCAAAAACGGCATCATAACGTCCTGCCCATCTAGTAGGGTTCAATATTTTTAGTGTTACTGCTGTTTCACTTTCGCTATTGGATATTAAACTTGATAAAATGTTCCATCTTTTAATGCTATGACCAAAAAAATTATAAATTCGTTGAACTGTTTAAAAAAAAATTGCATATTAATAATCTCTCTCACTGCATTATTGAGTACTAGATTCAAGTTATGAGCAGCACAGTGCACATATACAGCATTTGGCTCGACATCTTTTATTAATTTTTGAACTCCGTCATAAGTCCCTTTCATTGTATTAGCACCATCATATCCTTGCCATCGATACTTATTTAAATGGATATTTTTATCAGTAATAGATTTAATAATTTTCTTCGACATTCCTAAGGCAGTTTGATCCTTAAGTTTATGAAATCTTAAAAATGTCTCCTTAATTACGAGTGCTTTTGAGATCCCATTTTCGTCTTTTTCGATCATACAGTAACGGTATAGTTTACACAATTGATCAGTTTTTGATATGTCTTGAGTCGTATCGAATATAATAGAATAGAATGGTGCGGCATTTATTTCATTTATGGCTGCATCCTGTAGTTTTAAAGTCAGGACATATATCAGCTCATTTTGTATTATTGGACTTAAATACTTTACTTGGCCCTTTGGCTTACTTACTAGTTCATGTAGTATAGGGTCATATTTTGCTAATAATTCAATAATACTCAAAAAGTTTCCCTTAGAGCTTGAATCTACATTTTCTCTATGGACACGAAAAGCTAAATTACAGGTTGAAAGAGTCAAGGTAACATCAAGAAGCCTCGAAAGTACTTGACGCCAAAAAGATTTTTCTTTTTTGATCGCAGATTCATGCCCTTCATCGAGTTTTCCATGTAACAGCCACTGCTGATATGCAATGCAAGAATGAAGATGAATTTTCGATATCTCGTGCCTTTGTATGGCTTCTGCAATATGTTTCCAGTCATCAAAGCCCTCAATCCAAACATTTTGTAGTTGCCTACATGCACGATTAGCGAATAACCAGCACGGTTCACAATATGCCTTCTGAAGTTTTAAAGAATATGATAGCCATGTACGTTCAAGTTTTACGCCAGACTTGGAAATAATATAATAATATTTTTCTGAAAACGATCTATTGTCGCTATCTTTTAAGAAAGGGCTCTTAGGTCTACAATGCCCCTTTTCAATATGAACCTTTTCACTTGATCATTGAGATCTATAAAATTACCTTTATCGAAAACATATGGCGATGATATTATATTTTCCATGCAAAAATATAATTTACTAGTATCTTGCTTCGGTGTTTCTGAATTTAGATAGTAACTAGTGTTGGGTGCTGCATCTGGTAATTCAGGTATACTTTTCGTAAGGTTAAAATCTTCACTTTTGGAGCACTGTTCACTCAAATTTTCCTTATTGAAGTCTTTATTTTTCAAATACCCACTAATTTTAGGTAAGTTTTTATCTTTTTCTTCAATCTCCCTCTTTCTCTTCGTTTTTCACACCCACAAACAATTTCTGCAGCTAGACATTTTAAAATCAATATAAACTTTCAGTATAAATTCACAAATACTAACTTTTAAAAATCACATCCTCATATCAACGATACAAATCACTAACTAAAAAGAATAATCATACTACGAATACGCAGTTAACCTATCTCTCATATCTACAGTAAAGCACTTATAGAACCATAACAAATCCGAAATTCCCCACGCCTCATCAAGAAAAGTATAAACAAATTGAGTGTAAAATTGAATTGAATCAACATCCTTTTCTTTAAAATGTCTTGAAATACTTACCGATTACTTTATTATGGTTTTTATTTGTCTTATGTTGAACTTTAAGAACTTAAAATAATATACTTATCAGAGGCATTGCTTGGTCCCCGTATTAAAAATTGTTTGGGGGCCCCCTCAGATAGGGCAGGACTTTTCACAAAAAAATTGACTCCAGTTGTAATATTTCGAACATACTAATCGAAGTCTCCGAAATCATTGTTTAGTTTGAGAAATTAATAGGTTTAATTAGCTATCTAAGCTACAATGTTTGAAAAATTAATTAGTTTAATTAGCTTTATAAGTTACATGTTAAGTTTGATATTTTGTTTTTACAAATAGTTTTTACAATCCATTTCTTTGCTAATTTTTAAACTAACTACTAAATTAATTTTGATTTTTTAATTCGCATAATCTATTCAAGAAAAGACTTAATAAAAAGTTAGTTTTTTTATTAGTCATTATTTGCATATTACAGAGCTTCACAAATATTAAAGAAAATATTAAAAAAAAAAAATCACAACACTCTAAAATTATATTTTTACATTCTTACATGCTCATGTTTTTTTTCGAAATTAAATTTATTTAAAAGAAAATTTTCATGTTTATTCTAACTTTTGGTATTAATGAAATAAAACCAAAATTTGTTAGATTTTACTAATTTTTACGCGTATTTGGGGCCCCCGTGGCCTGGACAAAATAAAACTCTTTAAAATAATAATCTTACTTTCCTCGCGTACTTTTTTAACGTCATTAAGTTTGATTGAACAAAGTTTTCATGATTAATTCGTTTTTTATGATTTTTTTTATATTATTAATGTTTCTTACGGACGTGCCCCCCCCCCCTGGTTCGGGGGCCCCGTATATTTGATACGGCTCATACGGTGGTAGTTACGCCCCTGATACTTACGAAACCATACTTTTCAAGTGAAATAAAGTATTACAGTATAATGTAAAAACAATATTTCTGAGCACGCGTCCTCTTGGGCCGGGGGCACGTGGCATTTTGCCACCCACGCCACCCTATAGTTACGCCACTGCTCTAGGCAAAATACCAATGCCAACTAGTTAATAATAACGTATCAAAATCATATCAAAATTAATATAATTACATGAATAAAAATACTTTATTGTAATTTCTTATGCAAACTAAAATAAGATTTTAAAAAACAAATATGATCTAACGTATCGTCGTCTAATTTCGATCTTATTTTGATATTTATATGTTGTGCAGCTGAAAAAGCTCTTTCCGACTCCATGCTTGTTGGCGGTATTGTTAATAAATGTTCATATGCAAGTTTTAGATGTACCCCCCCCTAACACAGTGTTCTTGGAAAAATTGTTCTTTTTTCAGTTCTTGCTCTATCCCCAGTCTTTTGATTTGTTTCCTACAGCTTGGAACTTTGGTCATTGCTTTATTTATGACGATGCCTAATTTGTTTTTTAATGAAAGATCTGCAGTATTTACGCAGGAGAAAGATGTACCAGGCGTATCCTCATTTTCAAGATCAACATACTCAAGATGTCTGCCTCATTACCTTTAAACCCTATGCGTTTCATTAGTGGAATTAATATTTTTGTTATAGACTTAATATTTTTGTACTTTTCGGACTTAAATTTGTATCTGTATTTAATTACTATTTAACTGTTTTGCGTAATAAGCGGTATCAATCATAAATTTGAACGTCGCGTTAACTGGTGACAGTGCGTCAATAACTTCTGAAATTAAAGAATAGTCTTCGGAAAAGGCTATTTTGTGACGAAAGTATTCATTTATAAATTTGGTATCGGCTAATTTATATCATAAAGAAAAATACTCATTAATTAAAAAAAAGTATTGTTTTGTGCCAAAAGTATTCATTTATGAATTTAGTATCGGCTAATTTATATCACAAAAAAATACTCATTAATTAAAAAATAGTATTGTTTTGTGACAAAAGTATTTATTTATGAATTTAGTATCGGCTAATTTCTATCACAAAAAATACTCATTAATTAAAAAATAGTATTGTTTTGTGACGAAAGTATTCATTTATAATTATAAGGTCGGCTAATTTATATCAAAAAGAATTATAATAGAATATTATATGATTATTATAATAATAAAAATAGTACTAAATATATTTCTGCTGCAACAAACGTAAAAATTACCAGTAAAAAATTGCGATAATGCGTAAATATAATATTTTATTAATATAATTATTTACATTGTGCAATTTCATTTTACTTTAAATTGATAGTGTAACAATTATTAGTCTATAAATTTCCAATAAAAAACAAAGAAAAGCATTTATTTGTATGGCTGTAACCTTAAAAAACAAATATTAAATACAAGTTAAATAAAAATAGAAAATACAAAAAATTAAAGATCATTATCATAACAATTAAATTAAACATAAAATGAATTCAATGAGTAGTATATATAACTAAAACATTTATGAACAAACATTCAAAAATGGCCTAAATTTAAAAGAATATAAATAAAAATTGATTAATTAAACCACTCTTTTTCAGATCGTCCTGCTAAAAACAGAAGCTTATTTAAATAATCAGGTTTTAGCCTATTACGTTTTTCAGTCATTACAGTTCCAGCTTCCGAAAAGAATCTTTCAGCTGGTACTGATGTAGCCATTATTGTGGCATATTCTCTAAATTTTAAATATAAATTGGGAAAACCTTCTCTCATGTCCTCCCACGATGCAAGAGGGTCGCTATTGAGAGGAGTCACTTGTTGTTTTAAATACAAATCTACTTCATCTTGTTTATTGTTTCTTTTCTTTCTTTCGGACGCTATCTGCTTATGTAGCTGCTAAAAATCAAATCTATTTGGCGTGGTTTCTAAATCTGCACTTGATGTTGAAGTGTGCAAACAAATTTCACTTTGCAATGTTTCAATTGCATTTGTGCAAGCATTTTCATTTCTAAAATGAAGATTTTTAAACCTCGGATCGAGCAATGTCGCTACAGTTCCGAGTTATCTTCGACATTTGAAAACCTTCTGTTCGCGGTGTCGATTAAAATTTGTTTCAGTTTGATGCACAAGCGCGATTTTGGTTTGATTGACCGGAGTTGTGCCATTAAACAATTAACTAAAGGTATTACTTTTGATATGGTGACATACTGTTCTCCAGACAATTCTCGAGTAATATATCCTAGCGGCTGCAGTATATTTGATAGCTCGCGAATTATTTCTATATCAGCGGCTGACAATATGTCCGGTGCATTGGAATCACTTATGGTTACTTATGCGACATATGGAGCCAATTTCACAAAGTGAAATTTGAAGTTTTGCTCTGACCACTTTATTCTATATACATCAGTAAAACCTAGAGAAATTTCATTAAAATCTAGTATAACCTGTTATTCATACTTGGGTATTGAAATTTTGAATAATTCGTAGTTGAAATGCGGACCCGGATAAATTCCAATGAATGGTTTTAATTTTTTTTTGGATTAACTTAATTTTGATATCAGATATTACAATTAATAAATATTAGTAAAAACTGTATAAGATTACGCTAATAAATGGTATTACTTTTCTTTGCACTTGCATATTGAAATTTTGTATTAAATGAGCCATTATAGCATTCTTTATATTTTGATTGTATTGTAAACATTTCTTATTAAAAATTGAAAGAAAATGAGATGGCGCGTGTTACTCGCAATTACCTTATACACATATCAATAATGATAGTTATTAATCATTACATGTTGAACACTAAGTCACAATAAACCTATAATTAGTTCTACTAAGCTGAAATAACCATTTGCTATTACGCTTTTGATAAAAATAACAAATTGCATATTTATAGCAGTGTCGGTCTATATATCGTAACATATAACATAAAAAATATTATCTGCAAAAAGCTGTTACTGATTTTGATGTACTAGAAGAACTACTAGCGATATGCAAAATATTTGGATGGCGACTTTTAAGATGTTTCGATAAATTCGTAGTATTACCACACGTTTTTAACACTTTTAAGCACAGGGTGCACTTCGCTTCATTCTTACTCTTCTTTTCAAAATACTTCCACACGACACTACTCATTTTCTTTGTCTATTTTTAACTTCCCGTAGGGTAAGTTATTGTAATGGGCCGAAAATCGGAATTGAAAATTTTTACATTTCTCGACGTTTTGAAGGTTTCTGAACATTTTGGCATACCTCAGAAAAATGGATGGTGTGTGTGTGTGTGTATGTATGTATGGATACAAATTTCCAGTCACGTTTTAGGGCGCACGGATCAACCGATTTGAATGGTTCAAAAAACATTCGATTCCTATTGATAGGGAAAAGAGCTGATTAGTTTTTGGCAAAGGCAGGTCCAGCCGTTTCGAAAATACGGAGCAAAGAGTGCAGAAAATAGAAATCGGCTTTTTGAGAGAACGGAGTATCCGATTTGAATGATCTAAAAAACATTCAATTAGTAATGATTGGGAGAAGTGCTTATTAGTTTTTGGCAAAGGCAGGCGCAGCCATTTCGAAGATACGGAGCTAAATATGTGAAAAATGGCAGTTTTTGAGAGAACTAAGCGTCCGATTCAAATGATTCAAAGAACTTTCTGCTTGTCTTAACAAAATAATCGATTTTGGAAAAAAAATTTTTGTTCCAATTTTTTTTTTTTTTTATTTTTTGTATATCGAAAATAATTCAGATTTTATTTTTAATTCTGACTATAGTTCTAATTACTTTACAAATAATTTCAACTTTGCAATTCAGTTTATATAATTCTTATAACTATTAGACAATGTTAAAATATTTATAATAATCTATTTGAAAACATTCAGTATTCCTCGAACATTTCGTTACGGTACGGGAAGTTCCAGCAATTTTCCTTAAGGCACGATGCCATAATTGCCTCAAGACAGAATTCCACTTACAGCTAGTTAAATATTGTTTTTATATAATGATTATAGTATGTACTATAACGTAAAATGCACTGTTTTTCAAGTGTTTTATTAGTTTATGAAATATTGTAACTCTATCACACTTTTAGAACTTTTCAAAATCAAACAATTTCTTTATAACTATTTGAATTATTTAAACTGCAAAAAACTACGAACTGTGTTGAATACTTGACTAACGACTTAATAATGATCCAACTAGAGAATATTTCTAAATATTTTTCAATACAACATATTCTGCACTTTTTGTTTGTTGACAAACCTTCTACAGTCTTTGTCCCATTTCCCGTATCATTAATGTGAACAAACACTAGACAACCTTTAGAAATGTTTATAAATTCCGAGGATTAACGGATTTACCTAAAATCATAATTTCAATAGAAGCTCTTAAATACCCTTTATTGCGCACAGCTTTATTTTCGCTTTAGAAATAGTGTAACAATGTATTTTTATAGTGGATATGATACATTCACAAGACATATTATTATATTATTTTATGAATTTGCAAAAGTATCACTGTTTCGATTAAAAATAAAGATTTTATCAGAAATATTTGACAATTGTAAATAATTTCCTATTTACGAAAGCGACGACTTTCAATAGAAGTATTCATTGGTTTTATTGAAAGACTTTAATTTAGAATTGAAAATATAATAACTTTAATAGAAATACTTAATGAATATAAATTTGTACTTCTTGTCAACATACGTTGATACGTTTTGAATATAGAATCAAAAATATAATAATTTCAATAGAACTACTCAATGACCATAAATTAGTATTTTTTTTATAAAAAAGTAGCGACTTTTAAATAAAATTACGCTCTATTGTTTGAAAATAGTTATTGCCCATTTTTTTATTCAAATTAATTACAAAAAATATACAATTTTAATCAGACTATATAAAACATTTTAACACCGCGTATAATTTATAATGATGGCTTACAAAACTAATAAATATTGAGATTAGACAGAGAATTAATAGTCTAAGAGCCAGTGAACTATTTGACTAACCCGTTTTCTCAAAGCTAGAATTTTTTTAAATGATATTTTATTATCGGTATACTTACTCAGTATCGATACTATCGTTCTAACACTATCTATTACACGCCCAACGGGCCAATGTAATGGAGGCAAATTGTCCTCATTTAACAACACTATTGCATTTAAATTAATATTTGGTTGGACCTGTGTCCATTTATTTCTTTTTTGCAAGTCATTAAGATATTGCTTTGGCCAAAGTGACCAAAATTGGTCACGCATAGCTGATATCTGTTGGAATAATTTAATCGGCTTAACTTTGGATGCGTAACTAAAAGGTTCTGGAAAGGCTGTTAATGCACTTCCAATAATGAAGTGCCCCGGACTGATATAAGCTATATCGGTGCTGTCATCCGTAAGGGCGAGAATAGGTCGAGAGTTTAGTGCAGCTTCAATTTGGTATAGAAGCGTTGTATATTCCTCAAATGTGAGGCAATAATTTTTCTAATGCGATGTTTCATCATTCTGATAGATCCTTCTCATAATCCTCTAAAATGAGGAGCATGGGAAGGCGTGAGTTGCCATGTTATACCTAAATTCGATGACGCAGTGATTAATTCCCCCTTTGACTTATCAGACTGAAATAATGTAGCTAATTGCTGCAATTCAGACTTTGCGCCCACAAAGTTTCTCCCGTTGTCGCTGTGGATGACTGAACAGCACCCACGTCTTGCTATAAAATGACGTAAGGCCGATAAAAAGGCGTCTGTCGACAATCCAGATACTAACTCAATATGGATGGCCTTAGTGGCCATATATAGGCCTTAATGCGAGATGTCTTCCTCAATCGACTAGCTCTTAGTAACAAACTTTCCATTAGCTGCTCTGCACAAGTACCCCTAAATCGAGCACACTTTACACATTTGTGTATTATGCGCTTAACAGTATTGTGACCGTAAATAAGCCAGTATTTTAATCTGATATTTGCTAATGTTGTCTGTGTACCAGCATGTAGCAAACGTTCATGCTCTGATCAAATAAAAATGTCAATGGCCAAATTGGCCTCTGGTAAGATAATTGGATGTTATTGGTCATAACTAATGTCCGTATTCTCCAGTCGACCACCTACTCTTAGTAAGCCTTCGGCGCCCACAATAATAATATCAACATTTATTTGAATTTTAGATTAATTTTATATTTTTCGCTAAATATTCCATAATAAAGTCGTCCGTAACACTTATGAAACTTACGATCATATAAATGTTAAGTGATTCCTAAAACATTATAATTTTGTATTAATAACATAACACGGAAGAAGAGATATAATTAATTTCCATATAAGAACTATGTTCAAATTTACAATTGTGGGGATTGTACATAAATTTTTAAAGATTGCACCTGTTGCCTTGCAAGGGCTCTCAAATTTTCAAAGGAGCCTTTGTGAATACTTTGAATATTATCAATGCTCTGCAAATGAGCATTGATGATCAAGAATTTATTACTGAAAGTTTTCACAACTAAATTGTAAGCTATTTCATAGTTTTCATTCGTGAGACTTATTGTAGAAATTAGTTCAGATGCCGACGAAGTGAGAGCACCTTTCAAATAGTGCAACTTTTGCACAGGTGCTAGCTTTGAATTGTCGTGGATCAGCGAATAAAATGTCAATGTCAGTCAATGAATGCTTTCAATTGAATTTCGGTAACATAATGTCTGGCAATTTCACATCTATCGAAGTGTTAGA